CTGCCTCCATTGAGGTGCTGGAGACTTCTTTCACTGACATTTCTGGAGCTTCTGAGGACACTGACAACATTCGCGATAGCACTGAGGATGCAGACCTTCCCTCCGAAGATAATTTGCCTGTATTGTTACATCAAAATCCTGGTGCAGCTGTGAACGAGTTGGATCATGATCCTGAACTGGTTTCTAAGAATGCTGAAATGGTTGAGAACATGAAGGCCAGAGGTGATGTGCAAATGATTGGTGACCTTCTGTCCCAAGATAATTCAACTATATTATCACATCAAAATCACAGTGTGGTGTTGAACCAGATGGATCGTGATTCTGAACTGGTTGAAAAGAACACTGAAATGGTTCAAAATAAGGTGGCTAGAGGTGATGATATTCAACTGATTGGTGATGACCTTTCGTCCAAAGATAATTCAACTGTAATGTCACATAAAAATCCCGGTATGGTGTTGAACCAGTTGGATCAGGATTCTGAAGTGGTTGAAAACAAGGAGGCTAGAAGTGATGCCGTAGGTGAAGATGTGCAAATGATTAGTGATGACCTTCCCTGTGAAGATAACTCAACTTTAATGTTGCATCAAAATCCAGTTACAGCGGTGAACCAATTGGATCAGGATATTGAAGTGGTTGAAAACAAGGCCGCAGGTGATGATGTGCAAATAACTGGTGATAATCTGTCAGCAGAATTAGCCGGGCAACCAGCTGCAAAAAGGATGCGGCTTACGCCTCCCCTTGAGTAGAAAGTGAACTCATAGGAAGCCTGTGGAAGGTGACATTTGTTTTCGTAAGTAGGACAGGATTGATTGTCTTCCACGCCATATTTTAGGAATCCAAATCTCAGTAGGTATTTTTGTGTGCCATGCTGTGAATAGTGTTCGCGGCTGTCCGTTGAGTATGGCTACGAGGATGGGCAAGTAGGAGAATTGTTTTTGGATAGATTTCTTGCGTTTATAGCTTATAAAAGAATTCAACAAAAATTTCCTGCCTAGCAAAGCATAATCTTAATTTAGAAACTTAGCAAATGATCTGTCTCCACTGCATCTGGCAGCTGCGGACTCCACATTTTACTGGAAGCTAAAAATTAGGGAAGTGAAAGGAAACAGAATTCAGGATTCAGTGCAGTTGGATTAAGTAATTATTTTTAAAAAATTGATATCTAGTAATTTTAAGTTTAAATTTTAGCATATGTAATTTTTTTTATTTTCGAGTCACCGTCTTAATATAAAAAGAAACGAGTTTTCAACTGTTTGTGCGTACAACAATTTAATCTATTTAATTAGCTTTAAGCCTAAAAAAATTAGTATTAACCTCTTCTCACTCTCCATTTTTTTTTTCAATTATTTAAAACTTCAACAATTTAATTACCTTTAATCTAAAAAAAAGGGTACTAATCCCTTTTTTTTTTTTTTGTGCTTGGCCAAAGTGCTAATCCTTTCTCACTTTCTGTCTCTCCACCTTTTTTTGTCCAATTATTAAGGGAAAAAAAAAGTCGAAATTAGCGTTTACATGTTCATCTACGAACCATCAGATTGTACTACTTTCTCGATGGAAAATGGATCCTTAACGGAACCGCTCGTATTAGATCACCGGACCTCTTATACTAATACTACAAAATGAACTACCAGCTTCTCCGTCAAAGCGCTCTTGGTCTCGGCACTCTCTTTGCTCTGAATCACCGCCATTTCTGATTTCACTGGAAAAGCCTCCAAAATATTCTGATTTTCATCGGATTAGGGTTAGGGTTTTAGAATTGTACAAAAAAAAAAGAATGAAGCAATCGTTCAATTACAATCACCAGATTCATCAATCTCATAGAACCGCATTTGCAGCGCTTTTCGTTGTTCTCTTGCCAATTTTTCTCCCAAATCTCTTCGCCCCTCTTGGACGCGCTTCTCCCTCTTTATTCTCCGTAATTATCCACTTTCCGCTGACAATTTTCTTTTTCGTATATATAATTTATTTCACGTTTGATTTTGTTACTGGAGATTTATTTTTAGGTTGCATTTTTGGATAATAATTTTTAGTAATTGTTTTTATATTTGCTTATTGCCTTTCCAGGAATGGAATGCTCCGAAACCAAGGCACTTGCCTTTACTTGAGGTCGCTTTACATCGGAAAACTGTTAGTATTCTTTTTTTATTGATTTTTGTTTAATGAAATTGTTTATTTGTTGGTGAAAAGGCTTATATTTTCAATACTCTGTTTTTGAATTTTTTCATTTTCAGCCGATTAAACAACGGTCCGATCTCTGGTCTCCCTTGCCAAATCAAGGATGGCAACCTTGCATCGACTCTACCAATATCCCTTGTAAGTGTTTGAAAATTGATGTAAAGAATATTGGTATTAATGATAATGTGATGAGAATCTTGGATTTAGTCATCAAGTTTAAGTGGACCTCTAAAATGGAATTGTTTTTCCTAATAAGCTTGTTTGCACTTCTTGAAGCATTGCCAGAGAAATCTCAGGGGTATATTCAGGTATTTCTTGATGGAGGATTGAACCAGCAAAGAATGGGGGTGAGTTCATGAGTCGATAATGTATGTTTTTGTACTTTGATTTTGAAGCATTAATTGTTTTAGTCTTTTATTTATTTTTTGTTACCAAGATATGTGATGCAGTTGCTGTTGCTAAAATATTGAATGCAACACTGATAATACCACACCTTGAAGTGAACCCCGTTTGGCAAGATTCAAGGTATTTCATGAGTAAGATATACAACCTGTCCTGGTTTCTATTTTTTATTTTGAGGGGACATTTGAGAATTCGGGTTTGCTTTTGCAGTTCACTCACAGATATATTTGATGTGGATCACTTTATTAATATCCTGCGTGATGAAGTTTCTATAGTTAAAGAGCTGCCTAGAGAATACTCTTGGAGCACACGGGAATATTATGCTACAGGTATAAGAGCTACTAGAATTAAAACTGCACCTATTCATGCTTCAGCAAACTGGTATCTGGAAAATGTGTTGCCTGTCTTGCAAAGGTAAAGGTGTAAGCAACAAATGCCACTTTCTTGATAATTAATACCATTTTCAGCCCTTCTGTGAAATATCCACTTAGTGAACATATAGTCCTAGAAATCTGTGAACTTGTGTGTGCAATTCAACTACTTTAAATGAGATCGTTATGATAATTGATATATCTTCATGGATGCAGTTATGGGATTGCTGCTATTTCACCATTCTCCCATCGTCTAGCTTTTGACAAGTTGCCTATGAAAATTCAACATTTACGTTGTAAAGTAAACTTCCAAGCTTTAGTTTTTGTTCCTTGGATCAGATCAATAGGAGAGACCCTTGTTCACCGGCTCCGTTATCCTTCTGGGAAGCTTCAAGCATCAGGGACTGGTGTCATGCAAGGGAGAATAGATGATAATGAGAAAGAAGGAGCTGGAAAGTTTGTTGTATTACATCTTCGCTTTGACAAAGTATGATCCCCAACTCGTTTAAATCATTGAGTAAACCAATTGATGTTCTAATTTGTAGTGTTCCTGGAGTCTCTTGTGCTAAAAGTAGAAGATGATGTTCAGTCCTTTATAATTTAAAAAGATGAGCTCTTGTTAAATAATTTCTGGAGGGATTGGTTCGGTGGTGCACATCTAATATCAAAAGCATACGTACCTGTATATTTTGAGCGCCCTAATGGTGGTTTCTGTATGTGTCTGTTGTATACCATACCATCTCTTTGATGAGTATTGATCCTTTTGGTTCTTTATCTATTGGTTGTATTGTATTCCTACCAGAAAATATATATGCATAATGGTTCTACTATAATTACTTTTCTAATCAGACCTTGTGCAGGATATGGCTGCTCATTCAGCTTGTGATTTTGGTGGAGGCAAAGCTGAGAAACTGGCCCTAGCTAAATACCGCCAAGTTTTATGGCAGGGAAGGGTCTTAAACTCTCAATTTACTGACAATGAGTTGAGAAATCAGGGGCGGTGTCCATTGACTCCAGAGGAGATTGGATTGCTGCTAGCAGCTTTGGGCTTCAACAACAGTACTCGGCTCTATCTTGCTTCACACAAAGTCTGTTTTCATCCTTGCTTGATAGAGGAATTTATTATTATCACCTAAGCTTGCAAAGTGGGAGTGCATTTGATCTTTTTCATATTCACTAGGTTAGTTTGAAAGTTTTTGGTCTCAGTGGGACTCAGAGAGCATTTTTCCTTTTATAAGGTTTATGGAGGAGAGGCAAGAATTTCAACATTGCGTAAACTGTTTCCGCTAATGGAAGATAAGAAGAGCCTTGCTTCAGTGGAGGAGCTAGCCGAGGTTGAAGGCAAGGCTTCTCTGTTGGCTGCAGTTGATTATTACGTGAGTCTGCAAAGTGATATCTTCATCTCTGCTTCTCCCGGAAACATGCACAATGCTCTGGTAAGAATCACCTTTCAAGTTCCCTCGCGAAGTTTCAGATTTTTTTTTTTTTTTTGGAGTATCAAAGTTTCATTGGGTAGAAATTCAATATATCATATCGAAGAAATTTCGTAAATGAGAGTTCATATTATCTGTTTTCAGCTTGGACATCGAGCTTACTTGAACTTGAAGACCATAAGACCAAACATGTTACTCTTGGGCCCCTTATTCCTGAACAAGAGCATGGGGTGGTCTGAGTTTCAGCTTGCAGTTATCAATGGGCATAGAAATAGACAAGGGCAAATGAGGTTAAGGAAGGAGAAGCAATCCATATATACATATCCTGCTCCCGATTGCATGTGTCGAGCTTAACTTTGTAAACATCATGATTTGAAGCTATTTCATGTATCTTTTATTTTGCCACGATTTTGAGTATATATATATATATGAGAGAGAGAGAGAGAGAGAGAGATGCATTTTCTAGGAAAGATCAATTTGATGGCATTGAAAATGAAATGACCATGTTTATGTACATGTCTTTTTAGCACACTTGCTGAGAGGGTAGAGAAAGTGATAATATTCCGAATTATTTTGAGGATTCCATTGATGCAGAAGAAAGCAGACCACTTATTGAGGGGGGATGAACTATGAAGATAGGGAATCAAATATTACCCATTAGTACCGAGGAGATCCAATTAGGACTCTTTACTTTTGAAGGTTACTTGAGATCTAGAATTATATCAACATGAATATCTTCGGTTGCTCCTGCGAGGCAACTTTAGAGCCATTGAAAGTAATGGAAGTGGACTCATCTCGCCATTGCATGTTTTCGAGTTGACTCACCGCATGATGGATGACGAATTCTCCCTCCCAATGAATCCTGCTTCAAATTGAAACTAAAAGCCTTTATTACCATCGTGCAAACGACTTTTTATTTTGGCATAAATACAACAAATTTGATCCTCCAAAGCTGGTTGCCCGTGGAAGCTGATTGTTCCTCCCGTTAGATTACCCCCAAGAATTATGAATCCAATAATTATTTACAAGCACAGGATGAGTACACAACGAATAATGCCAGCTTCAAAAACACAGCTGGACATTACTTGTTATTAACGGCAAGCGGGTGCGCAATTATCCCACTAATTATTTGGGGGCGGCGCCACCGTGACCTACTGGCATCTGACCATCTTTCTTGTCCTTGCCAACCAGATGAGACCCACTTCCACTCTGGTGAGCACCCAATTCCTTAGACTCTATGGACATTTCTTCCTCAATTGGAAGGGTCAGTTTTGAGCCCTCCAGAGCAACACCAAGAACGATGTTCTGTCCCAAGGAAGGCCTGGCTGCCGATGGCAGTGCAACGTACTTGTCAGCATCCCGCTTTGCCTGTGAAACCCCCAATGGGATTTCAGATTCGTCATTTGCAGATTGTGGGGTAGCAACTGGAGACTTCTCAGTGATCTCCGCCCTTCCCGAGCTTGTTGCCTTCCAAGTTTCACCCCTGCTCTCACTGAATTGCTTTTCAGAGTTGTCTTCAACTGAACCATCAGGCACCGGATTCCTACTTTGGGCCTCAGAGAATGACACCTTTGAACTTGAACTGTAGTTAACGGTTGATGATTCTGTAACCTTATCTCCTTTGGAGTCAATAGTAGATATTGATGCAGACTTGATATTAGCCTTTGAGTCAGATGTTGAGGCTACTTCCTCCACGTTATCTTTTTCTTCATTTGAATGTGTTGAAGCTTTGACTTTGTCATCACCATTGATTTTATAAGAGGGCTCAATGAGGAGAAGTCGACGGTTTGTAGCTGCTCTAGAACGACTGAAAATGGTATCAGCAAATGGTAAATCTTCTATTTCAGTCTCACTGTGTATTTTTTGAACTGTGCGAATAGGGGTCGCAAGCCGGGCCCGATGATAGGTAATAACCCTGAGCAGATCCAAGAGTATTGATTCCTGTGGCAATGCTATCATTAGGCGCAAATAAAACGTAGCAGTTTTATCTGTATGTATGTAGTGGCTATGCAAGTACATGCAGGTGCATAGGCGTAAATTCATCACTAAATTATGCTAATTACGGTCAGCAGCATCCCCAATAAAACTTCCAGGGATCCAATATTGTTATCCAAGCAAAGATTGTCAAAACTTCTTTTAGTGATACTTTTGAACAATATGATGCCAAACCAGCGGGGTGGCAATCAACGATATGATGATACACAACTAATCAACTAAACTAATATATATACTAAAAACCATAATTGAGAAACTGAAAATATTATCTCTTTTCATCTAGAGATTCTAGATAAAAATATTATATACTAAAATCACCACTTCATATTTTAACAACATATCTTTACATGAATCACAGAGAAAGAATGGACTTACCCTAACACAGAGGTATTCTTCAATATGTGATGTTTTCACAAAACAAGAAACCAAAATCTGAAATAATATGAACAAACAAAAAGGAAGTTAAAAACTTCAAACTGAAGCAATTGTCATAACTCACAAAGAATGAGTTAACAGCCCCAAAAGTCTACACTGAAACGTTGCATTTAGTTAGTACATCATTTACATAGATGCAAGAAAGACGAAATGAACAAATGAGCTAAGTTGGGCATTCAATAGACCAAAACAAAGTCTAGAAGGGTCCCACTCTGAATGAACTAAATCAGCTCAAAGAAAATTTAAGGGACAAAATGAGTTATAAAAAAATATCTAGGAAAAAACTGGGTCATAGCATTTCAATGAAATGTAATCAGATGAAAGAAAAATAGAAATACTAGGCATTACATTAAATTATTTTTTAAAGGAAAAAAGATACCAACAGTAAAAATCTCACCATAAGAGCCTGGTTTTCTGGATCGATACTTTCCAAAAATACTCTTCTATGCAATCTTTGCTGCTCTACTTGAGGATTTTTGGCTAAAACCTTCCGCATGTCAGCTACAACATTCTGCATAGAGAAAAGGTACACAGGTTCTTGCATGAGCTCTAGAAAGAAGACAAAGTGGTTCGTACTTGATAAATTAACAGCAAGACAAACTGAAACTTCTTACATTGATTTTGTCAACATCCAAGTGACTAATGGCAAAGTAATTCTTGATGCGCCAATGAGTTTTCTGGGTAAGGTTCCTCACAACATTCACAGTGAACTTGTGGTTTGGAATGTGAACTGCCTCGCGGTCATCACCTCTTATAATTGTTGGTGACCACCATCCAACATGCTGGATAGTAAACATAAGCAACCAAGTTGTTCAATCTATCAGATTGGTTAAAGGAGGCAATTAGAGCAAAGTAAGCACAAACCTCAACTGTCCCTGAAACTTCATAGCCGTCTATATTAGTTTGAATCCATTCATTGACAACAAATGGCCTTGTTGCATGGATCATTACACTTGAAAGAAAATTTGTAAATATCTGAATGCACAAAATGCATGAATAAGTAAAGAAAGGATCAGAAAAGGCTTCACAGTAAAGAACTTGAGAAGTCTATAGATAAGGACAATATGGAATGTGCTATCAATAAAAGCACAACAAACTGATTCCATACTTAAACAGATAATGCCAGAGGTGAGAAACATGATATGGTGAATGCATGAAAGAAATAAACAAGTCAAGAAAAGGTCAAAGAAACTTTACTATAAAAGCACATTATGAATATGCTATGATATGTAGGAATATCCCAACAAATTTATTAAAAAAAAAGGCAACCATGAAAGAGGAAGAATCATGGATGTGAGAATATAAAATTTTTTAGGATAACTGGATCAAGATAGTTTCAAAATTCCAGGCATATGTTCATCTACCTTTAGCATTGAATGACACTGTTACCTATGATATTTATTACTTAAGGAGAGTGATATAAGGTTTTTGGACAAATAAGAGTATTAGCTCAAATGGCATGTATGCAAGTCAAACTCCAAGAGGAGGTAGGTTAGGACTTAGGTGCATAATGTCTTCCTCAGATGAGTTAAGTAGATAAGGGTTGAGGGGCTGTAAGTAGATATGGTGAATGCATGAAAGAAATAAACAAGTCAAGAGAAGGTCAAAGAAACTCTTCTATAAAAGCACATTATGAATATGCTATGATATTTAGGAATATCCCAACAAATTTATTAAAAAAAAGCAACCATGGAAGAGGTAAAATAATGGATGTGAGAATATAAAATTTTTTAGGATAACTGGGTCAAGATAGTTTCAAATTCCAGGCTTATGTTCATCTACCTTTAGCATTGAATGACACTGTTACCTATGATGCTTATTACTTAAGGAGAGTGATATAAGGTTTTCCAACAAATTAGAGTATTAGCTCAGATGACATGTATGCTAGTCAAACTCCAAGAGGTTGTAGGTTAGGACGGTGCATAATGTCTTCCTCAGGTAAGTTAAGTAGATAAGGGTTGAGGGGTTAAGGGTAGATTAGGAATTAAAAAAAAAAAAAGTAAATTCATTTCTTTTATACATTACAAGTATAAAAGGCAACCAGTTTACCTCACGACCAGCAAGGGTGATCAATACTGTTCCAAGTCCTCCGGCAGTTACCCACTTCTGGGTAGAAAAACCAAGCAACTCCATGAACAATGATACAGCAGCAACCCATACTGCAGTATAAACAGCTTTTCCAGCAAAATCAAAGCCCATCTGTCAATGGATTAAACAACTGTTTTCAGGTTTGTTCACTGCAATCTGTAAGTGCCCTCAAGATAGAAACATTATCATTCCACATACTACAGAACAAATCTTTAGATAGAACAATCCAGAGAAAAAAAATGCTAAATTGTTTCCGAAAAAATGTTGAAGACATGGTATAAATGGTGAAATCTTTGCATTCAAAGAGCACAAAAATAATATCGTCCTTCCTGCAGCCCCCAAATGAGTGGTATTATTCACCATGTAGTGGAGACAGCAGAAATACTTATCAGATTGACCAAAGTTGCTAGACTTAAAATACACCATTAGCACCTCAATGTAATTTGACAATTGATGCAAATGCTTCTAAGAGATTTAAGAAAGTTGAATAATGTGAAAGTAACAGAACATACGTTTCTTGCATCATTAGAGTCATTCATCTCCATAAAGAATTTTTGTGCCTGTTGAATCAAGCTGCAAGAAAAACGCATTGTTTTGCATTAAAGTCATAGTTCAAGCTCCTAAAACTAGACTTAACATGCAGAACAAATTTTGGCCAAAAAAAGAAGCAGAATAAATGGGCAATCAACAAGCTGTTTTAATAACATGCACAAGAAAGATCAAATGTTAAAACTCAATAGGCACGCAGCAAAACACTCCTAAAAATCAGAATGTCAATCACTGCAAGCATAGAAATATGCAACTACACACAACAGCCTCCTCTTGTGTCCTCTAAATAACCCCTTCAAACCAAAAAAGAAAATGAAGATGAAGAATCAAATTAATCAATAAAGAAATACATAAAAAAAAAGAGTATATGTAATTACTCAGTTGTTAAAAACTTAAGACAGAAAGCATCCCATTGAACTCACCTTGACAAACAATAAGAAAAAGCTAGCACCGTTGATAATGATTGCACAAAATTTACAAGTCGTTGCTTAACAGCCTGGCTTGCTTCTGAGGGTAAAACTAATGGATCTATTGCTCTGAAAGAAACTATGATATTGTCAGACCAACATAATGGCTGCAAAAATATGAAGATTCAACTCTAAACCCTTTAGGGGGCACCTGCAGATGAGTGTCGCTCCAGTCCACAGCAACACAGGTTGAAGATAATAGCTCATAATATGATGTGTTCTACTTTTCTTCCAACTGCTATCGCTCCTCTGCAGAAAATTGCAAGGTAATGAATCAATAAAGGAATTCTACCACCATAGAAGACAAAGGCATGCAGAAGAGTATTAAGTGTTAACATGGAAAAAGATAACCCTGCCCAGCCGCATAAGTGGCCCAAGACCCCAAGTAGCAAAAGCAATAATCGCAACTGCTGGGACCAACCGAAGTACAATGGGGCTTCCATGTAAAGTACCAAATGTCCTGAGATATCCAAATAAAATGAAACGAGTAGAAATTATACATTAAGGAGAAAAAAAGAAAAGATGTGTGAAGCTACACAAGAGAATAGAACTGAACTAGCCCCACCTAGTAGAAATTCACCCCAACAATCCACCCACCCCCACCCAAAAAAAAACATAAATTTGAATATAGAACAAAGTAAAATAGTTGTCTCCAACATAGGAGAAGATAGCAAGTCATAATGAGTATTAGAGGATGATAGCAAGTCTTCTCAAATAAATAACATAAGTGGGCAAATGCTTCTCATAAGTCATAACTTAGAGAGGAAAGTTTTCCTACAATCACTTAGCATCTCCCTAAATAAAAGAAGACAATCCCTATCCAAGCTACATGATTATTCTGCACTCTAACTTTAAAAATTAGGAAAATAAAGCAGAAAAGACTTTTTATTTTAAATTAATAAAGCCTCATATATCGCTTCAGAAAACTAATGCACTAAAAACTAATGAATCTTGCTATGGCATTTTGAAGTCTAAGTCCAGTGAGTTACTCATGATAGCCTTTATCTGTGGAGAGTTACTCGAATGAAGGATGGTGTGGAAGGCTGCACATCCGAAACCTACTGCATAAAAAGCTCATATTTCCAATGTGACACATATATCATTCAATTTTCTGAATAATTTAGCTAGAGTATTATTACAAAATAAAGGTGATTCATAAATCTCCCCAGGATTTAAAATACAAGTATCTGCTTTCGGTATTTAGACAGCATCAAGAAAAGAATCTACAAGGAATACAGACGGTAAGAAACAAATATAGATCACCTTGTCAAAGCCGTACTAGCAGATTTTAGAACAGGAATCTCATTTCCCCCAGTAGGAATTATAACAGATCGGCAGAGAATGACATTAGACCTGGAAGATACAGGTCTTATCGGCATACAAACACTGCTCAAAAGATGTAGACTCCAAGCATCCTGTCGCTGGATACAAAACAGAAGAATTTTTCATGTCTCCAGACTTTATTGAGAGATAAGAATTATAAACATGGTTATCACATGCATTGATGCAAATGCATAAAACAGTCACAAAAACCAATCTCATGTTATGTTAAACTAGATGAAGTAACTGAACAAAATTGGCAAACGGAGAGTGGTTATTTAAAAGCCAAACAAAAACAAAGTAAAACAAACATTGCTACATACATAATGCAAACATAAACCCCTGCATCCGCCAGGGGAAAAGAAAATCATACCATAGCATGTGAGGGAAGATTGATATGAACTAAATGTAGTCGGCCTTTTTCCATCACACCCTGTCGACATTCACATATTCAGTTGCAAATACTTAAAGAATAGATGACGGGACATAACATTATCAACAATAAGACTAAATATCACATACAATGTGCTGACTGCCGCATCCATGACTATTGTGAATTTTCAGTTCATGGGACAATCGCATAGAAGCAACACGAGTCATCTTTTAATAACAGAGTCCAAATTCTTCCAGGAGGTCAATATCACCTTATACAGTCCCAACTTCCTACTAACTTTATATCTTAAAAAGCTGAAATAAGTAATAAATTATCCAAACAATTAGCTCCTGAAAATACAAAAGAAACATAGAAATTACAACAAAAAACTTAACAAGTTAATGATTCTAATAAACGAAATTAAAATGTTTAATTCAAAAGGATAATTGAATGGAAGCATGAATTGGAATCCCTAGATCGCAAAATGCATAATTATGAGACAATAAAATCCACACAAAACCAGAAATTAGACAAATTTTTTCATATAGATTACCGAAAAATAAATGATGAAGTAACAAAATAAAGCCTCATAATTAATCTTAACAGAAAAGTCATGATTGCTTCAAATTTTACCATCCAGAAAAGGGGAAAAAATTAAAAGAAATACATTTCAAGTAAATTGGTGAAACTGATACATAAATAAACAAGTAAATAAATAAATAAAGATTTGTTACCCGTGAGACGAAATAGAATATAATTTCCCAATAAGGTTTCCTTTTTTTCTTGTGCTTTGGGTAATGGATAATAGTTTGTTTTTTTTTTAAGGAACAGTAAAGGAGATGACCGAAGTACGATCCGTGCGGTGGATCTAACGTGCGCCGGGGGGAGTGGACTTTTCTAGAGCCGACGTGGTCCAATCAATCGGCGAGTTTGGACGATGTTAATTTCATCGTTAATGACTATTGACCTTATGCGGCAATTTGAGGTTGACTACGTGGCGGAGGTTTTATCCAATCTCCTTCCCCATCTCTCCTTTTTTTCGTCAATGTCGGTTGCGTGGTTTGCCACGTCAGATGTGGTCCAGAAAGATAAATTCGGCAATTCTAATGTTCTTTCAAAAAAATTCGAACTCCCACTTTTTGCTAATTAATTAGTAATTATTACTAATTAAATTGCATCCTCCTACTTTCTTGATTAATTAATTAACAATAAAATATAGGAAATGATTTTTCCTACTCTATTCAATTGTTTAATGAGGTGCATGTGGATTGGGAGACAATTGGATAAATAATCAAAGATATTTTCATGAGAAAAGAAATGAACGATTTGTTATACCGTAATAGTCGGGAGCCTAAGCTTCATAACTTTTATTTCATAACGAAAGTATAAGAGTTAAAATAAAATTAAGCCTGTGAGATCTGACAGTGATATTTATATAATCAATTAATGGTATGAGATATAAAAATTACAAAATTAAATTTTTTTTGTCTATATAAAACCCTAAATTAAATATTTTAATATTAAATAGCTTATTTTTTTCTCATTTTATCTTTCATATCAATATATAAAGTTACCAAAAATCATCATCATATTTAAAAGTCATAATTATGATATATTCTCTAAATTGTAATGTAAATATTTGTAAGTTTATTACCAAATTAATTCTCAAGATTTAGAAGTCTTGAATCGAAGATGACAAAAGTACAATCTGATGGTCATACTTGTAGATATTTAAGCCTGATAAGAAAACTATTCAAAATTTTTGGCCAAGAAGGATAGCTTGCTGTTACTGTCGTTATTGAAGTAATTTCCAAAACGTGTTGGCTTTTGCCACTTTTTTTTGTTTTTTTCGAAGGAACGGCTGCTGCACGTGAAAAATGGAGTTGTAGTTTTGTAGGTGAAGAAAATGTTGATATTCGTTAGTTTAATTTATTAAAGTTTTTTTTTTTATGAAAAGATTTTAAGTTTGAATTGTGTTTGTTGATCCACAATTATTTATTTTAAATTATCAGATATGATATATTTTATTTTAAATTGAGAGATTAAATAATTTATATTTTTTCTTACAAAAAAAATGTTGATATTCTATTCTTTATGTCTGTTTGTCAACGACAATCAAATTTCAATTTTCTTGTTTAATTTTTTCCTAAGTAATTTAGTCTATCAAATGGTAAATCCATGGAAATTTATAAGGTTTTAATTTGTACGATTTTTGAGTCATTCATTATTTAATGTGTTGTTAGATCAGTAAATTAAAATCGATTTTGAAATTAAGAATCTCACTATAACTCCCAAAACTAAAAACATCTAAAATCCTGAGCATTGTTTTTTATGAAATTATTATTACAAGTAGATTTTATCGTCACAATCAAATAATTTTCCATATTTATCATACAGTAAATCACCAAAATCCACAAAATAAATCAACAAGCAAATTAATCAATGAAGCAAATCAATATAAAATATAATTAAATTTATGTTTGATGAAACTTGAACATGATTAATCTAAAATTGTGCCATGACATATATATATTTTTTTAATACTATCTCAAACTTTCTATTAGTTAAGTGAACTTAAATTTGAAATATTACACTTTTTTTTAACCCAACTTGCCCATAATGACACATTAATCTATTGTTTTTTTATGATTTGCAAATTATACCATAAGAAAAAGCCATTTTTAAAAATGTTTACCATTCAATTTAAAAAAAAAAAAAAACCCATTCAAAATTTTTTTTTATTTTAAGTATCATTATGATTTTATTTTAGTTGATTGAACATATTATGATCTACAAGCATTTTATGTTAATGACTTTCTTTGAAGTTGGAATTGGCTTTGAATTTGAAGGAGTTTTAATTAATCTTTTATAATTAAAATAACAATGAAAGGACTGCTGTTATAATTTAAAATTTAAGAGCTAATAAATTACTTTTTAAAATATATATCCCAAACATTAAAGAGTTTATGTATAAATTAGTCCTTGAATTATATTTTTTATTTGATATTTATAAAAAAATCATAATTAGATATCTTCATTTTACTTTTTATCAAACATTTTGTATAATTTAATATCAATGTTAGGTAGAATGATGATATTATAAATATCGATAAATAAAAATATTTCACGTATTATGATTTTGTTCATTGATTTCTTTTCGTGTTAGCATATTAATAACGAAGTTGACGTTAGAACATATGATATAGAAAATTAAAAATCTGAATATCAAATTTTGAAATTTTTTATAAATATTAAATTATGAAAAATAATATAATTTAAGAATTAAATTACATATTAATTCAATATTAAAAAATTAAAAAGTAATATATTCAAAATGTAATGAAGTAAAATAAATCATTTTTGTTAATAAAAATCTTTTCATCATTCGTGTTATGATGATATTTAGATCTTCCTTTAAAAAACAAATCTCCATTTTTTCGATAGTCTACATGCAAAAGGAGCCCCTGCCCCACTTCGAGAAAAAGCCGTTAACCGTTGTGTATGGACGTTGGGTTTCTTGGGAGTCCAAATCTCCAATCTGAAAATCTAGCCGCCACTGTGATTTTAAATCGTCTGGGCCTTAACTGAAAACCGAATCCATCTTCACTATAATTTTAGCTTTTTGTTCATCAAATCTGTTCGTATCTATCGAAATCGACGGGTATCGGATCAAATCACAAAAACATTGTTTCAGTCATATAAATATTAAGATATTAAGGTAAAAGGATTAAATGATAATTAATAATTAAAAAAAAGTTTTAATTATTCTTAAATTTAAGCACATTTCATTTTGATTAATTTTTGTAGTCACATATTTTGCACTCGAATATAATTTTTAATTGTTTTTAAACAATAATTATAAATCTCATATTTATAATAATAAAACTTAAAATAACAAATTATATAAATATAATGAACAATCATATTCATTTTCGTCAATGCAAAAAATTCTCCGCATCCATGCTCTTATATATTCTAAATAAGTGAATAATATTATAATGATCATGTTTTGATGTTATGTTAATCACAAATTTTAATTTCTTAAACTATATTTAAGGTTAAAAGATAAAAAGTATCTTTAAATTATAATTTAATCATCATTTAAATCTTTACTGTTTTAATATATTTAATCAAATCCTTAATTTTTTATTTTAACTCAATTAAATTTTAAATAAATAAAATTTAATCAATTAATTTTTAAATTTTATTTAATTTTCACATATATTAATTATATCAAGTGACAAACTTTAATTTATTTTGTTGATGTCATATAAAATTTTATCATTATTGACAAAAAAATTTACAGTATTAATTTTTTTTAATTTAAATAAATGATTAATTAAATGTAAATAAATATTTATAGAATTGATTGATTGTAATAAAAAAATAAAAAAACTTGAATAATTTTTTAATTATAGTTTGCATATACTAATTAGCCATTTTTCAATGATTCCTTGCATGCAAATAGTATTGGATAATGTTCTCTCCCATTACAATTAAATTCTGTTCACTCTTTTTGTCTCCGACTCTCTTCCTGATAAGATTGTACATGCTTTCTTCTTTAGACTTATAAATTAGTAAGATGGAAAAAAAAAAAAAAACACAATTTGTATCCATAAATTTTAGTTCAGTTGATGAACAATTGATAAGGAAATGAGAATTATTTTTTTATTAATCATAATTTGTTTTTTATAGAAACTATTTAAAAAATAAAATCTAAAATTTATAAAGAAAACTACACACTTAAAATAGTTGACTGGGAAGATTAGGTGTGGATAAAATTACAATTATAAGAAAAATCGGTTAGGGTTAGAGCAAAGGCCAAGCTAAGTAGACAAGTGGCTAACCACTCCTTAAGGCCTACCGCCCAATTTTAAGCCAAGCCTGTCTGGAAGACGTTGCCTTATTTAAACAATCACGTGAAGTCCACGTGACCCAACCTCTCTCTAGTGTCCCATAAACATTTTGAATTCGTACCCGAGCGCCTTTTCTCAAATCCAGTTCAATTATTAAATGCTTAAAAAAATTGCCCCATTTGCCTCGATCGTTCAAATTCCCAGTTCCCTTTTTGTCTCTTATGAAATTCAAATTTTAACGTCTAAGAAACCAAAAACCAATCCCCATCCAAAAGGAAATATCTCCATTGCCTTTCTGGTATTGTATTTTCCTATCAAATTAATCATTTCTCATCATATTTTTTCGTCAGTATAAATTAGTCTCCTCAGTTCATGGATTTCAGATCTGATGCATGTGGTTTTAAGAGATTCAGAAGATGTTTTAATGGTTTGATTTTCCTTTTTTTAGATTTGTGTCGCATTATTTAGGAGATGGAGCATTCAGAATCCGTGAGAGTCGCCGTTAATATTCGGCCGCTGATTACTACCGAGCTTCTCAATGGATGTACGGATTGCATCACTGTCGTTCCCGGCGAACCTCAGGTATTATTATTCTATAAATTTTTCATGAATTTTGATTTTGAAATGAATATAGATGTTGAAATATTAGGTTGGTTAAGATTCATTTTAATTATTTTCTTTATTGTTGCAATTATAGGTTCAAATTGGGTCACATGCCTTTACCTATGATTACGTTTATGGGGGAGCGGGCTCGCCGTCTTCAACTATCTATGATGATTGTGTCGCTCCTCTTGTTGGTGCGCTTTTTCATGGTTATAATGCTACTGTGCTTGCATATGGCCAGGTTAGTTTAATTTTGTTCTAATGAG